GGGGACACTCTTACGGGACACTCTTGTTGCACACTCTTGTAGGACACTCTTGTGGCTCACTCTTATGGGACACTCTTGTAGGACACTCTTGTGGGACACTCTTGTAGGACACTCTTGGACACTCATACGGGACACTCTTGTGGGACACTCTTGTAGGACACTCTTGTGGGACATGCGGGACACTCTTGTGGGACACTCTTGTGGGACACTCATACGGGACACCTTTGTGGGACACTCATCTACTCTTCTAGGGACACTCTTGCGGGACACTCTTGTAGGAAACTCTTGTGGGATACTCTTGTAGGACACTCTTGTTGGACACTCTTGTAGGACACTCTTGTGGGACACTCCTGTAGGGCACACTCTTCGTACGAGACTTCCTCCAAAAGTCACGCTGCGAGGCTGCAAGACGAGCGTTTCGTACGAGACTTCCTCCAAAAGTCACGGGTCAAGTCTCAAAAACGAGCGTTTCGTACGAGACTTCCTCCAAAAGTCACGGGTCAAGTCTCAAAAACGAGCGCTTCGTACGAGACTTCCTCCAAAAGTCACACGTCAAGTCTCCAAAACGAGCGTTTCGTAGGAGACTTCCTCCAAAAGTCACATGTCAAAGTCTGCAAAACGAACGTTTCGCGCGAGACTTCCTCCAAAAGTCCAGCGGAAACACCCATCGGAGCACACACACATCACGCAGCCCTGCCAAGCAGTTTCGCGATTCCAGCCCCTCCAAACGACACCCGCTCACACGCCAATCCCAATGTGACAGCGACATTCACCTCTACCACAACTCTCAACCTCCCGATTCCCTGCACCGGCCACGAATCTTTTCGCGTCCACACGTCTAGCGCGCACAAAGTACTGCGCCTGCCACGAAATGTCACCTCCGTCACACATCGCAACCTCACGATTCCCTGCGCCTGCCACGAAAATCCCACTTCCACACCTCAAAACTCGCACAAAGTCCTGCGCCTGCCACGAAAAGTAACAATGTCATCTCATGTGAGCTTCAACAAAATTTGCCCCACACCACACGTTTGGAATGATTTCGACCCGTTCTGAGCACACTCCCAGAGTCCAAAATCGGCATTTCAGCTGAGACTTGTCACGAAAACAGAGCTTCGATGCCACACCCTGAAACGCAAATCCCAATGGCACGGCCACATCCAACACCCCAAAAACACGACTCTCCACACGCTAATCCCAATGGAACTGCGTAGCAAACTGCGGATCTCACAAAACGCTGCGCCTGTGCAGCGAAATGCATCACGCTTCTTGCGCGACATGTCCTTTTCACGTCGCAAAGTAACACGTGACACATCCATGCCTAGTCACTTGCAAAAGCTTCCCCCAATGGCAGCGCCTTAGCGCTCTACTGCGAACGGTTGCGGACGGTTGCGAACGGTTGCGAACGGTTGCGGACGGTTGCGGACGTAGAAACAACGGATCGCGAACAAGGCTCTACCCCCAGACCCCCAAGAGTTAAACGAGAACCCTTCGCTACGCATTCGGGAAAATATAACAGGGAACTCCGAGATGTCGTGGAACACCCCGCTCCGGTCCGCATCGAGGGACGGGAGGGGCCCCGGTGGCGGGTCAGAATGCGACCGGGAGCCGGCTCCAACATATTCACCGGTCTCCCTGGTCTCCGAGACAGGGGAGAGGAGACTCAGGAGAAAAAGCGTGCGTCCAAAGTAGCTGTATAGTGAATGTTTAATTGTTAGTTATTTTTCTGGTCTAATTCCTTCAGTTCCTTTCTTCCATTGATGTTTGGAGTCTGTTTGAAGGAACTTTTGAAAACAATTGAATTCTTTCTTAGACACTTTTCTGGCCGAATTTCATGCATGTCCTGTCTGTCCTTGATGTTTGGAGTCTGTTTGAAGGAAAATGGAAAGTTTGTGTTGACTTGTTTTTTTTGTGAAAATTGTTTGTTCAAACAGGTCTTGAAGCTCACAAAGGGCACCCCTCAAACACAAATACTTTCATGTTCCTCTGGAAAATGCCTTGTCAAGAGATCACTAGGCATTCCATAAAGTATCCAGATACAGTCCCACAACCGCCTCTATAAACTGCATTTCCATGTCTTCTCAAAACTACCAACAACTACCCTCTATATAAAATTGCTACCAAAAATGCATTTTCTAGTGACAAATGACCACCAATTTTGAGAGACCCATTCGCGGGGGATACCTCAACAAGCAAAGGGGCAAAGGCACATTGCTCAGTAGCCTTGGCGGCCTTGGCGCTGCAAAAACTTACAAAGAAGACTGCATCACATAGTATTATGATGTACCTTACAGCCTAACTCTGAAATCTCAAGGATTCATTCAAAAAAACAAAAAATGCAAAACCGCACTCAGAAATGATAACTAGGAAATGCAAAAAGAAAGGCATGAAAAAGGCAAGAAAAAGGCAGCTGGTCAAAAAGAGTGCATATAACAAAGCACAAAAATTGCAAAAGGAAACCAAAAAAACAAACAAAATGCAAAACAACAGTTTTAAAAACGTAAAACAAAAGCGAACAAAACGCACAAAAAATGCACATGCGCAACCAAATTTCGCACACCACCTTTTTGTGCGATTTGTTTTGCTGTTTGTGCGTTTTATGTGTGATTTTTAGCATTTGTTTGCATTTGTTGTGTGTTTTTTGGCCCTTTTTTTTGCGATTTGTTCATTTTCTCAAGGAAACGCACAAAAAAAACAGAAAATACAAAGCAAACAATGCAAAGGCAAAGACCAGAACGTGTTTGATCGCATTTGTTTTGCTTTTTGACTTTTTGATTGCATTTTTTGGCATTGTTTGTGCATGTTTGTTGCATTGTTTGTGTCTTGTTTGTGCATTTTTTTTGCATTTTTTGTGCGTTTTTTTGCATTTGTTTAGTGGACAAATGCGTGATTGTTTTTCGCATTTTTTGTTTTTTGGCATTCCAAGGCATCCTTTGGTGACTTGTTTTTGCGTTTTCTGTGCGTTGTTTTCGGATTGATTTTGCATTATTTTTGCATTGTTTATGTATGTTTTTTAGTTTTGCTGTGTCATCAGAACTAGCTTTAGCGTACATCATAAACATAGTAAGTATATGTAACTGTATATATATATATATACGTACATATATGTGGCACCCCCCAAAAAACAAACATCTGCAAGTCATTCTATGTTGGTGTTTGCATCGTGTCTGGAAGAAGCTTAGTTACATCCTTTGAGGTATGGTTTGTTGACATGCTTTGAATAGTCTTAGGGGAAGCCCTTCCTGTCGCGGGGCCTCCGTCCCCCTCTCCTATTCTAACTTGGGGTAAAGACAAAATATAACAAGTAATTACAAGTGCAACAGCGCCAGTGATTACTGCGTTACTGCGTTATCACATGAAGAATGCAACTTGGAATGTGTGTAAACTAGAGTAACTAGACACAGTTGGTTAGACTTTATCAGAGCTGCCCCGTCCCGCCCACTCCTCCGCCGTCTTCCCCATCCTCCGCCTCATCCTCCGTCGCTGGGTCCAGAGGACCCCCGGCCCCAACCGCCAGTGCTAGATCGCAGTGGGCGCCACCGGACATCAACCGCGAGTGCTGGATCGCAGTGGGCACCGCCAGGGCTCAATCGCAAGTGCTAGATCGCGCTAGGCAAACAACGGGCCTCAACCGCGAGTACTGGAGGATAGTGGGCACCGCCGGCCCTTGACAGATAGTGTGCAAGACAAAAGGCAAGAATCGGCCAGAAGATATGCCAAACGAATATGCCAGATAGAACGCGAGGTTTCACACCAGATAGAATGCAAGAATTTATGCTAGACAAAATGCAAGATAGAAAGCCGGCACATAGGCGAGATGGAATGCCAGAATATTAGCAAGATAGAATGCAAGAGTTATATGCCAAACCAAGGGATATTGTATATGCAACATAGAATGCACGAATAGGTGTAAAATATAGTGTTAGAATTTATGCCAAATAGAATGCCAGAATATATGCCGGATAGAGTGAAAATGGGCGACTAGAATGCCAGAGTATGAGCCAAATAGAATGCCAACACATATGCCAGATAGAATGCAGGAATATAAGCCAGTGAGATAGAAGCCAGAAGATACGCCAAATAGAATGCAAGAATGCATGCAAGAATGTCAAAGTATGCCGGGTAGAATGTCAGAAGCAATACGAGAATGTATGCCACATAAAATGCCAGGCGAGAATCTATGCAAGAAAGAATGTCAGGAAACATGCCAAATGGAATGCCACAACATACGCCGAATAATGCCAAATAGCATGCGAGGACACAACTGCAAAAATGGGCGCGCTTTTGCGTCATATCTGCGTATTCCAAAATTATGGGCCTTATTGGCCCTAAGCTTCTGGAGATTATGTATCCACGGAAGGTTCAAAGCCAAGGCAACACCTGGCTTCAATATGTTCTCTGACATGTTTTGCAAAAAAACTAAGGGTATGGGGCCTGGTCGAAATGTTTTCTTCCAAAAATGGCTGAATGTCGTGTTTATATTGGGGGCCACAGCTGGTTAATCAAGGAAACAAGAACCCAGCAAGTATTGGCACCAAATTCTGAGAGGTGTCACTTGAGCTGCACCGCTTTCAGCTGCTCTTTGAGGAAGGTGAGCAGAGCTGGCTGAAGTCTGTGCCATTTTATGCAATGCTTGAATAAACAACTTGTATATGCTGGAATCTGGCAATGTTTGCTAGCCGCGCGGATCTAGCGCATTATTTTTCAGCCAGCTACTTTTCAAAACATGTCTATTCTTTTTGATTAGCCGGACTCCATATTATATATATAGTATGAAAGCAACGTTTGACATTGATTGAAGGATGTCATTAAATCCCATCCTTTGAAAACGATAGGACACTCTGAATCTCCATTGAATTTCGAATTCTGAAGAACATGTTGTGGACATGCTTAACATGGACTGTCCAAAAAGAAATTATTCGGGTTAAAATGAAATATTGCTCTCATGACAGGTGAGAGTATCTTTGGATACTTTGGATATCTCCTTTTGACATTAACATAGTTTCTTTAATTTACACCTGAAATGCTTCCGCCCTGTCTTCCACATAAAAGGAATAGCCTATTCGTTTCCCGAAACTCTTTCATTGAGTTGAGCTCTTTTCTCTTTTGCAACAGGCCTCATTTCTCATGAATATTTTATGTTTTTCAGCAAACGGTGTCTTTCAAAGAGGAAAATTCAGCTTTGCAAAGGGGAATGCTTTCTGCAAAGGAAAGGCCTTTTCAAAATGCAAAAAAGGAAACAATCATGATACAAGGTGAGACCCTCTCACAAACCAACAAACCAGTTTTGAAAAGTGATATGTTTAAAGAAACTAGTTGTTTTAACGATCATTTGTGGATAAAGGATGGGGATCGGACCCTTAAAGTATAGGAAATGCTCATGAAAGCCGTTTTACGGTAGCAGTAACTAGTAGCATATAGAGTCAGGATTCTGATCAAATATGTTAAGAATTAAGGGTTAAATTAAGAGACAGCTTTCGATAAAAATGATCTGGGACAGGACTACACGCGTACTTCAAAACCAAGAGGCTTGCTTCCATAATCTGATACAAACAGGAATACTATTTTGTGAAGGGAGTTTTATATTCTAAAGGTGTTTGCTTGTAAGCAACATGTGTCTATGGCATATACATATGATAAAGTTATAAGTTAAACAAAAAACACATGAATTCCTGATGCCCGATGCCCCGGGCTTTTTTGGCGAGACAAATCACCTCCAGCCTCTTTGGAGTTCAAAGAACAACCGCTACAACTCGAAAAGCAAGACCGAAGGAGGGTCGCTACATGTCGAGGAAAACGTTACTGAACAAATCAGAAAAGCGATGACAAACGCTCTTGACAATCCATGGAAAGCCTTTCAGAATCCTTTGCTTGAACCATCTTACAACTTCAAATATCTTAAAACTGTTTCCCAATGATGCCAAGGTCGAGTCCAATTCCACACGACAACATTCTTAAGCGAGCCGTGCTCACCTGACCATCATGCTACGAAAGGCTGCTCGAAAGCGACTATCCTCGGTCTGGGCACCATGACGATGATCATCACTGCTCGAAGCTTCCCCCGTTCCACGACGGTTCAGCGGTTCCATGGTACGACGGTTCATCTGAACATGCACGCGGGGTGGCTTGGTCTTGGACACCATGGGACCATGGACCCCTTCAGGAGTCAGGATGGACCGGTCCGCGAAAAACGCCATGACGCAATGAGAACAAGGTGCCCAACAAAAAAGATTCGAGGACTTTGGGTGTCCGGCTAGGTTGGAGTGATTTGAATTCATGCATCCAGTGTTAGGGCATGGGACCACATCACAACATATCACCCCACCTGCGATGATCTGAATCACCTTGACTCGGACAAACCCCAAGATCTATCTTAACACCGATGATTCGGCCCTCTGCATGCACAACCGACGAAGAACCTGGCCATCTGCTAAAGCTGGTCTCAGACGCGGAATGGATGGCACAGGGGTTTCCTATACCTGATGCACCTACTCTATGACTCTATACGACCATGTTCGTTGCAATCAATCAAATCGAAACATGCATGCAAACTCAGTAACTCTGTTTGAGGGGTGGAGTCGGAATGGTGATCTTTATTGGTTTGTAGAGCTCACGTCACTTGAACTTGATTGATCTTCATAGGAGTCATAGGAGGGCAGGAAGTACACGCACACGCGGCCCACGAGGCACATCCACTTCCCATCTGCAACAAGGGGCGGCCATGCTCGGTTGCCGGGATCCTTCCTCCAGAAGAGGCTCTACGGCTGTCCACAGTCGAGGATCCCGTTCAGACAAATCCACCAGTTTCTTTCCTCAGCACGGCTAGTGCCCAAAAGGATCCAAAAAGGAGAACATTGATCACTCGGCCAACGTGGAAGACTAAACGCGGCTCGACCAAGATAGCGCTGATGGGCCGCGGGTCTCCCCGAGCATCGCAAAGAGTATAACGATCGAGACCCACAGGATCACAATGGATCAACTAATTGTATCATGTTGTTTCTATGTTGCTACTGAATCGGGTAATAAATGATATTGGATTTTAGTGGATGATATAGGCATAGTTTATATGAGGCGCTGGTTTGAGCTATTGTTTCTGCAACTGAATCACCTATATCAAATATGCACTGTGCACTGTTTTAGTGTCGCACCTTGCCATGTAGGACAAGCAATAGAATACACACCGGAGAGAAACATCGGGAACATCGCATGCTCTGGTGGCTGTAGTGTCACGTCGAAACGGAGACTATTAGACAGGCAACGCAAGGCTGCTTTTCAATTGTTGCACCCTGTTAGCTCATCTGAGAACTGAGGTGGGTAGGGAAGACCGGCCCTCGCTTCCTTGACTGTGTGGTACCTTTATTGAACATTGCTATCCTTCTCGGAGACCTCGATATACAAACGGGTGTCTGCAAAAAGGCACAACCAAAATGCATAAAAACACACACTACTTGTAAAAAAACTTACTGTATTGCGTACACCTACCTAACATGTTGAAGTTTTATCTCTTAAGTATGGAGAGTACCAGTACGGCAAATTGTGTGGCCTTTCGATTTCAAACAACTCAACTCTCAACTCCACCATCCGGACCAGGAACCCCAAAAAGCTGAGCTCTTGATGTGAGGATGGGATGGGAGCCTGCACCTCCTGGTAGTATATAGATGAAACGAATTTGGCCAATTTTTTCTTTTTCGAAAGGTGCTGTGCTTGTGCTGAACTTGATGATTCTATTTACACGTTGCATGATTTTTGCCATTCAACACCTCCGCCTTCAACTGCAATGTCGCTTCACTGGCGGACGAGCCTCGGACCTCTGGCAAAACGATGGTCAGTAGTTCTTCGCCGGACAAGTCCTACACGGTGCAAGCGGTGCTCGGAATGGATCGTGAGCAAAGAACCACCGAAGTGGGACGGAACGACTCTGGAACGGATCGGTCGCTTCTTTACTTTTCAGGGCAAGGAAGGATATCTTGAGTTTGGTTTCTGGACAGGCAATATGTAGATATATTACCTTCAGGCGCCAGGGGTCACTTTGGCCTACTAGCTATGACGCTACCCGCCCGAGTCCTCAAGTTCCACGTGACTGCACCAAGAACACTGGACGCCGCCCCACAACCCACACCAAAAACAGCCAATTCGCCCATCTGGACAGCTCAAACCGGTCTGCCAAAGTGGGCTTCACTCAGTGACCGCCAGTCGGCAGGGGTTGCACCATGAGAAGTGCGCGCGGCTTCGTTGCGCGGAGATCTTCAAGTTATGCTGGCGCAAACACTGGTGCTGGGTATGTACATTGTATGCAGCTGTATGCCAAATACAACAATAATCAACAAAATAACCATCCGACCAACCCATAGAAGTACCAAGCACACCTTGCGAGCTTCAGACATATAATGCCCAGCCAAGTCTGTGTTCACCGCTGCCAGGTGAACCTGTGATACAACATATCGGCCCAGAACTAGAACCCACCACACCTGCACCATCCTTGTCGTGCAAAAAAGCCAAACTTTTGGGCTTCTGCAACGGAACAAAAAAGGTAAACATGGCCCAATCAATTCCCTCTGTTTCTCACCACTTGCCCCCATCCCGGCAAAACACTATTCCACAGCTGTGACGCATCTCCTCATTAAATGGTAGGTTTGTTTATTTTGTTTGGACTGGACCGGGATGTGCTCTGGTTGGATGCAAAAAAACAATAAAGTAAAATAATATCGTACAATATCTAGGCGGATCGCGTGCACATGGACGATCGCCTCTTTTGCGAAAACGCTTGGGCAAAAGGTGCACCTGGTGTGCGGGGTTCAGTGCATGCTCAGCCTCGAGACCCTTCACGAACACTCGGCTGCGAAGTGCTTTCATGTTGCAAACTCTCATTGGTAATTATTAATTATGCTTTCCTTTTCGTGAAGGTTCCGTTAGCTGGGTGAACGGAGCGTCCAGCCACTTCCTCAGGCCGTCGCGAAGGCTCGTGGCCTTTGTCAGGCCGTCAGCCCACATTACCTCGGGGCACCACCTCATGATGAACTGCTGGATGCTGCGGATGTCGATGTAGGTCCGCTTCTCCGTGGTCTTGGGGTGTTCGGCGCTGACTGCATCAAACAAGCTCTTGCAGTCAGTCACCTGCACCTGCTGAAGGCGCCAGGTGCTCATGTCCTTGGCAGGACCTCGCCCTCGCCGGTCAGCAACTCGCTCAGGAACAAATTGGCAAAGTAGGCCCTGTCCACACAGTCGTCACACGACATAGCTTCACTTGCCAGGGTGCTCCGACAAACCCTGCTGGATCTGTTTCTGCGCCAGTCGACCGCGTTGGCCTTCGTGTTGGTCTCGGTGCAGTGTGGTGCCGAGATCATGACCAGGCAGCCTTGCTGTGAGGAGCACTGATTGGGCGTTAGCCCATGATACATCGACGTAGCCAACGATCATTGAAGATCTGTTGATGGCCACGCTCTGGAAGTTGAGCCCCTTCTTCTTGGTGTTGCGGCAGTACCAAGGTTTCATGAGGGTAGCCAGGTCGGCCGGACTGGTGTCTGAGCCTTTGTTGACGAGCGACACCCATGCGCCAATGTCAGGGCGCGTCTGGCTTGAGAGCCATTGCAGTGACCCTGTCACTGAGCGGAACTCTGCCTGGGTCCGCCTTCGCTGATGCGTTTCTTCTTCAGCTTTCCGGCATCGGTGTTCTCGATGAACTTGGTCTGGGTGACCTGGAGTTGGAGGCTTGTGCCAAGGGCCGCCAGCTTCAGTTCTTTTCCTTTGAGTTCGAGGGAGTCCTCAATGCTGAGCTGCTTCTGGCTGCCCCACGAGAACAATTGCAGGAGCTCTTCCTTGTTGCAGTCGGTGCGACACGTGAGGAGGAAATCGTCAACGTAGACGATGCACACTGCCATCGGCTTTCCATGCTCCCTCTTGTAGAAGAGCATGCGGTCGAGGTGGTGCTGCTTGAAGTGGATGCTCAACATGCGACGCACGACCTCTTTGAACTAGGTTCTTGGTGCTGATCCCAGGCCGTAGATGTTCTTGAGCACACGGTGCAGCTTTGCTGGAAACGTGTATGCCTTGATCGTGGTCTCGTCACGAGGCGGCAGCAAATATAGAGCTTCTGGTCGCTCGTTTCCTCATTCGTTGGCAATCTCGCAATACCAGTTTGGACTCCCTCGGGCGCTCAGGGCAGGTCCTGTCTGGACCACTCCTTTCTGGCGTCACGTTCTCAGTAGCGGCATTCCAAGAAACCAACTTGTTCTTCTGGGCCTCATACCACCCCTTCCCGGCGCAGAGACGGCTTTTGTGGCATTCAAAAGATGTACTTGGTTGCTGGGTACATGATGTGAGACGTACACAACATGCGAGACATGATGGTTGTCATCGGCCTCATCGTGACCACCATAGTGGTTCAAAAAGTGCACTGCTTTGGGATTCTTGCCGGTCTTGCCATCACCTTTGTTGCTGCCTTCGCCACTGCTCTGCTTGCTGACGCTGCATTCAGCATCGCCAGCCCAGTGCCCTTGCTGTCCACAAGCTGCGCAGTGGGTGTTTTGCGCTTCCGGTCAGGAATGCTGCGTGTCGGTGGGCCAGATGAAGTGGTCCTGTACTTTCGAGCCTGCATCAGAGGGCTCTTGCTCTCCGTCTCCATCGTCCTGCTCGTCAGCCTTCTGTGGAGTCAGGAATGTCGTCATCGTCCAGCTCTGCTGACCGGTCTTCTTCTGGTGCCTCAGGCACTTCCGTCACGAACGCCTGCTCGGTGTTCTGCTTCCCCTTGCCCTTGCCCTTGAAGTTGGAGTGGAAAGATCGCTGAGCGCCTTTCCCGGTCATGGCCTTGTCCAAGGGCAGGAGGTAGTGTCTTATGGTCCGGCCACTGAAAAAGCAAAACATCCTTGACTGTGTCAAACTCCAGCGACTGGCCGGTCCCGGGTGTTCTGGAGATAATTTTGCCCTTTCTAAAGGCAGAGTGCCGCGAGCTTCACTGTCGTACACGCCCTGGGCTCGGATGTTGGTGGTGGCCAACGATCTCTTGGATAGCGGTTTGTGAATGCTCTCATGCTCTCATTGGGGCTTCTATAGATGTGCTCGTAGGTCGACAGGAGCTGGCGTTTCAAGTGGACCGTCCGGGCTTCCACGGCCTTCTGGATGGTGTCCACGATGAAGGTCACGCCGTCAGGATGGTAGATTCCCTCCACCGCCGCGGTCCTCGAGCTCTTCTTCCAATTCTTCCTTAGGGAGTTGAACAGAAGGATGCCTGTCTCCTTCTTGGGGACGTAGTTCACCACCTGCACATTCACATTTCGACGCGTGTGCGCCATTTCCTGAAGGCGGTGAAGTCGCTCGTGTCATAGTGCCACGGTGGTGGCTGTGGTGGTTGACCACCTCTGTACTTCACTCCATGGACTGGCCCCTTCATGCTGTTCCATGAAGTCGAGAAGCTGGCTCCAGGAGTCCTGGATGGTGGGCCTGATGGTGGCCTTCCCGATCCACTTGCCTCAGGGCCTCCTTGAGGTCGCCGGCGTCTTCTCCGACTTGAGGTGGATGATGTACCTGAGGGTGAAGTCGCCGGTGGAACAACGCTGGGGTCATGAGTGGGTGCCTCACTTTCGGCTCCTTCTTTCATGGAGCCTTCCCAGTACCCATCAGGGTCATCGTGATGTGCATGAACAGGTTGTGCTTGGGCTTGGGGAGGATACCATCCGAACCGTCCATGAATAGGAAGGGGTTCAAGCCATGCGGTAAATGAGGAAGTCCGGAAACAGGGTCATGGAGTACTCGACAAGGTCCAAGAGGTGCGCGACCAGGCTGCGGCATGGTTGCCCTCGGAATATTCCATGAAGTAGCGGAAGTTATGCCTGGTGCGAACAGGTAGTTGGGCTCAGAACTCAAAGGAAAGCTGGGAACATAGAATGAACTGCTGTTCAAGCCAGTGGTCATGGGCTGTGGGGAAAACAGGTTCGACCCACAGCGTCCGCAGCGCCAGAACTTGGCCTCCTCATCCCACCCATAGTCCTTGGAGCTGCACCGCTCGGAGATCCATAGGTCATCAGCGGCCATGTCATAGCCGGAAACCTGCGGGGCGTCAGCTGTTGCAAAGGCCGCCACACTCGGAGAGGGCGTTGAAGGGGTTGAGGCACTCAAGGTCGGTCGCCAAGGTGTGCCAAGGGTGCCGCGATCCAGGAGGGGCTGGTCGACGTCAGGAGCACGGCCACCTGGAGCATGCGGCAGCAACGGCATGGCACGAAAAACAAGGGCCAACGGGCCAGAGCACAAAGGCTCCGCTGCCAACTAGGCGGATCGCGTGCACATGGACGATCGCCTCTTTTGCGAAAACGCTTGGGCAAAAGGTGCACCTGGTGTGCGGGGTTCAGTGCATGCTCAGCCTCGAGACCCTTCACGAACACTCGGCTGCGAAGTGCTTTACTAGATGCAATCACTACTATCATTACCCTTTATATATATATAGATTGCTTTGGAGTCGCCGGTGTGCCTCACTGCGACCATTCTTGGTCGCGCAAGCAACTTCGCCCAAGCCACTGCAAAATGCGACATGTGTCCACCCTCAGATGAGAAAAAAACATACAGTACAACCAATCTTCCAGAATCCCAGAAACTTTGCCACACCTTTTCCACCCAAATGCACCAACGACTCCAGTACCTGTCCCACGAACTCTTCGCATGTGACACGGGTGCGTCACCCACATACACTCCGGATCGCACACGCATGCCTTGAGGATCTGCCGGTTACGCTTGTCCAGGTGGATGGCCCGCTTGTCGTGATAATGATGGCAGAAAAGACATGAGCCTTTGTGGGCGAAAGCTCTTTTTCTGAGTTTTACTGGAGAACTTACAGGAACCCTTCTGGTGAATATCTTGGATTCTGGATGCTAGAAAGGTCTGCATCTTGGATTCTGGATGCTAGAAAGGTCTGCAGCCTGCTGTGTAGCTTTGTTGAGCTTTGGCTCGAAGCTATGTGATATTTTGTAGGATTATGTGGGTGAAAATCCTCCAGTAGTCAAGACTTCTGGCATTCTTCTCAGGGTGCACTTGGGGTGCACCACCCTGGTCAACTGCAACGACATTCATAAGGAAACCAGATACTTCTTGTGCGACGCGGGGCGTGCCGTTGAAAGGCTCAGTCTAGAGTCTAAGGTTCCATGTTGGCCACGGCATCTGACAGTGGCCGAGAAATCGTACCCCTTGGGAGTTCCGTCGATGTGCCCCGCACTTTCCGTCGATGTGCCCAATGTTCATCTATCCATATTAGGCGCATATGCTGGCACATACCAACCAGTACCAAACACTACCAACTCCTGATTCCGATTGAACAATGTAACAATTTCCACTGAATGTTCATGTCGAAGTGTTGCCAGTCTCTGCAGAGTTTTTCAATGCCCTTCTCACTCTCTCTCTCTCTCTCTGTTGAAACAACCCCGCATGATCCCACCGCCCGGGTGATCCAGGCCATGCGGCTACCATAGTCGCAGCGACCGCTATGGAAGTAAATGCATGCTCGCGCACAAAGCTCTGGATGCCAAATGCTTCCAGGGTTCACGAGCTCCGCCGAAACTCGGTCCTGGAACCGAACAAGAACTTTCACAGCTCTGGTCATCCAGGTTGACCTCGCTTTCAAATGAACATGAAGGTGTTACATGGTGTTACCATGTTGCCTACATGTGGATGCCAATATGTGCAAACCCCATCGCTTGGCGCTGAAGAGAGTACACAGTGAGATGCTTTGGCCTAGCTGCCGGTGCACGAACGTCTGGGCAGGTCCACAACCATATCGCGAAACAAGCTGGCTTATTCTCTTTCCACCTCGGGCATGCCCAGGAGCCACTCGCACCTTTCGTTTGCTAATTACGGCGTACCTTCGTTGCGGAGCCCTTGTCACTTGCGCAGCGGGGTTCGGCCCTTCCGGTCTGGCAGGGTCGCGGTGTCTTCCCGTCGCCGCTGCTTGCGACCGTGGTGGGTGCGATGGTGGAAAGCGTGACTGAGGGGGTGCCTTTGGGTGACAGCGGCGATGGTGGATGACCTGGCTTGGATACAATGTCTGCAATATATACATCAAGATATATAGATATATCAATATATATATATATATTTTTTATACCTTGTGTCTCCAACGACCCGTTTAAATTTGCCTTTCCAAGCAAAATATGTTTTTGAAAGAAAGCACTCTTTTTTGCATATGTCACGAGATGTTCCTTTTTTGTTTGTGCCCTGTCAGACCCTCCTTAGACAGTGTCCTGAGACCTTTTTTCGGCGTCCAAAACGCATCTTTTTGCTTCCAAAAGGCGTCTTTACGCGTCCGCACCGGACGTCCGGATGAAGATTCACTCTGTACCTTTTGTTGAGTCCTCATCTCTGAAAACGTGTTTTTCGAGCAAAAACACAAAAATATGAGACCCAAAACAAAAACGCTGAAATAAAGGGTCTTTGGAGACGCTAACATACATGCAATTAACCTTTGAACATCTTTGAACATAATAACCACACATAACAAACACGTATCTTCGAACCAAACTTCAGCGACGGTCTCACCAGGTTGAATTGGTTCACGATGCAAATGTACAGCGAGGGATTCAAAACAATTGACAACAAAAGTAGGGGACAACAGTAGCCCGTGGCAAAGGCCAGTCTCGAAAACACTCTTCTTGCTTCGTGTGACTCACCACGTCGGAGAGCATTGAACAGTCGCAATGCATGCATAGAATTTGAAGCCGGGTTTGGTTGAGACATGTTGAAGCATTGTAAAACAGTGCTTGAGGCATTGGCTTTGTTGCGGCGGGACTTCGCCGTCAGCGTGTTTCCAGAAAGCATCGTAGTGGCAGTTTATTTTTTGGTTGGAAACGATTGCATAGTCGACGACCCAATTCGTAGACGACCCAATTCGTAGGCTTCTGCACGTGGAACTCCCAAAACACCGGGTGTTTCCATGGACGAGTCGACCGAAAACCAACAATTCCATTTCGCATCGCGAAGCACCAAAGGGTGTGACAACGTTGCAGGTTGACAAGCATTGAACTCAATGAGGATCAAACGAAATCAACAAACACACCCAAAAAGGCACCACGTGCGCGAACATATTTCCAATTTGATCGTGCAGCTTACATATCCATCAACTTCTCCACTTCCCCCCATCTCCAAGTCTACCTCTTACAATGTCTCATCTCCGGATCTCTCCACTCTTTCCCAACTCTTCTCAGAAAAAGCTCTGTCCTCGTCCCTGGCGGGTCGAGACCGGAGGAACCGAGGAAATGGCACGGAGCTCAGCTCCTCTTCTTCGGTCTTCCCGCCGCCTTTCGTTCGCCAAGAGCCCGGTGCCACGCCAGCGGACGAGGCGGAGGGCTCGGAGAGCTCGGCGTCGAGCTCCTGTGCGTCCATCAGGCATATGCCGTCCTGGCCACCCGCGCTAGGAGCCAGGCTGCGCAACGACGGAGATCTGAGGTGTTGAAAGACTGATCTTTCTGAGGTGTTTTGATCGTGTGGTGCCAAATAGCAAGATCATACCAGCCCCCCCCAAGGAACAAGGGTGAAAGAGACTGCGATCGCAGGCGACCCACGCCATGACAATCTCCCTACCTTCAGCAGCTGTGGTCTACCTTGTTTCGTTTCAAACCCAACCGGCACCACTCTGAGAAGCCCGGACACAGCATCACCGTGGCCTTGGACAAGAAAGCACGGTGGTTCAAGCATCTGGGAAAGCCCCACTTTGAACCCTCCTATTGGAGAGAGAATGAAATTCATTGGTCTAGATCATTCTTCTCTAACTGGAGTTTAGAAGCTCGGGTACCTCAACATCCAATTTTAAGACTGATCATGGCAATACATCTCAATACGATATATACGACAGCAGTACCCCTTCAAAGCAACTTACTGTATATATACATATAACGCATCAAATTCATGTTGGCTCTGACTCAATTCATCCCCCGGGTGTCAGCCGGTCTGCTCAGTGCGTGGCCGAAGTACCATCGATGCCTCGGTGAGGGGGTCGGGAACCGCCGGTGGTCGGAGGTCCGGCGGGCTTGGAGTCTGGGAACACGGTGCTTTGGGGGGTGATGTTGTCTCGTTTCAACGGCGGTTTTGCGGCGAACCTGCGCAGCAAAAACTCTTCTAAAAACATCAAAAATTGCCCAGGCAGGCTGCGGCACGGCATGGGATTTCAAGGCTACTCACTCTGGAGGCGATTCTTTACGCCGGCCTACAGCCTACTTTGCCAACTTTGCATCCGGCTTGGCAACAACAAACATATAATTACATTCTCACAACCGATCCAGATTCAAGTTGAATGTATGGTGAGCATACATACATAGAGAGGGTTGGAGCCACCCACGGCCACCATACCTTTCTGCCGTCTCTTGTGCGATAGTTCTCGGCAACCGAATGCACCTCCCAAATCCTCCAAACAAATAAATGTCCATCTGAACACCCACTGCCTTCCATCGGTGCCCCAAATGAGATGGCAACCGAGTCGAAGCTCCTGCATCCAAGCATGCAAGTGGAACATGTCTGCTGATGCCTGCTGTCTTCGCCGTAGCTTGCATTGGAACTCTTCCCTACCATCACGTGGTCGATGCCACCCATGAAGGGTTCAGTTGTCGGTCTGCGCAGGTTCCTCGATCGACCTTTGACGCCACAGGCTGAGGCCTGTGGTGGGCGCTCCACAGTGAACACAGCGAAAATAGAAGACACAAAGATGTTGTGTGGTGTGCTGTCTTCATTGTCAGCTTGTTCGAATACACCAAACAAATCCACCAGCTTTCCTCATGTTTCGTCGAATGCTCCATCCGTTTTCGAGGGCGTCATGCACCGTGAGTTTCGTCCGATTCGCGCAGTCCGAAACATCGAAATGGACTGACGAGGTGCGCAGTCTTGACTTGATGTGGTCATTGTGTACAGTCATCTCACTGTGGTTTTGTAGACCCACATCTAAAATCACCATATAGAATAAAGCCACAGGCTTTCCATTCGGTGGCGGGTGGCGGGCGTTTGGTGTTTGGTGTTTGTGGTGGTGGGTGGGGTTTGCAATCCGGATGTGATTGTGATTGCTCACACTTCTGACAATTCCAGCTCTAAAGGCCAAGCATGTTAACCCCAGGTGGTCATGGGACATCATTGGGCCACTTTTAGCACTGCATTAGTGCCTTAAGTACTCCTAGTACTCCTCTCCAGTTTGATACGGACCACAACCTTGCAGCCTTTGCCTTTAGAATGCCTTTCGCATCCGTCGTAGCCCTTAGCGTCGTCGCTTCGTCGCGGTGTCGCCCGAGTCGCTGATGGCCGCCGCCGAGCTCCGTGAGGGGAGCTGAGTCACCTCGGAGCGGATCGGAACGGTGACGTCACCGATTCCCAACTGATGTTCCGCACACGGTGAGGAGGAATTGCTGAGGAATTGGGCCGTTGGGCCCATCGAATTTCTGGAAAAAAAACACCTGCGGTCTTACAACACCTGTCCCCTGTTGCTGCCAACATTCCCTGCACGAGAAAAAGGGTGGCAACATCTGCCTGGTCTCATTTGGGCGATGTTTGCTTTGGATCATCCACACTGTTTGGTTGTCCCATTCTGCCATCATGTGCAACCTATGAATCACATGCAACCCACCTGGGCGTCCCTGGCCACCTCACCCAGGGCTTTTCTCCATTCTGCAGGACCAGCATCGCTACCTGGCCAGACGACCCCTTCGGACCCAGTGTGGCTCCAAAGCAGTCCAACTTGTTTAGGGTATAGGTAGCTCTGGAGAAACGATGTGCAGTCCTTAAGGCAACGATTTGGAAGGTTGAGTCGAATGGGTTAGACTCGCATTTCTCACATTTTCCTGGGACGGATCATTCTAGAACATTCTATTCGGGGACAGTCCGGTCTGACCAGTGTGAAATTCATGTATCAAGCCATGCCTTTCATGCCTTGCCTGCAGACCCACAGCAAACACGAACTGCTTGGACCCCTCCGCTCCCCGGAGCTGCTCGCGGGCTCGCGGTGTCGCACCGTAGGGCACGCTGCTTTCTGAGATCAACTCGCCCGCTTGATTGAGGCAGGCCTCAGGTTGACAGAGATCGATTTATGCATTGAAGCAACCACAAAACAACAATTGGCATTGACTGTGGGCCAAAGCAAATTGCTTGTATAGTTATTATATTAATTATGTGAATTATGCATATATATATATACAGTATATTCTACTGATTATGTTCAACATTGGCCAACCCTGGTCAACTTATATAAATATTGACTAAGATTTACATAGATTTACCACCCTCCAAAAGTGGGTCGACCGTGCACGTCCCAGCAGTGGACGTCCTCGAAAAAACGATCCCGCTGCCGACCTGATCATATTCGCCCCCACCACAAACCGCAACTGCACCTGGTGCAGTCGAACGACCATAATAATTCCCAACCCAACCCAACCCACCCAGGTCACACTGAAACCAAGAGCCAGGGCCACTGAGCATCACAGAACATGCAAACATACCTCCAACATACCTGGGAGCGAGAATACCAACAATTTTAATGCAAGTTCTTGCTTTGAGGACGTCACCGCACCCGCTAGCCACGCCACAAAGGAACGGACCGTCTGACCCGGCTACCAGGTCGCCCGAACCCGCGTTTCACCCGCCACCCTGCACGGACCCAGGGCTCGCACGACGCCAGCGTCACTCACGAATCGGTTTGCTGCCATGCCACAGCCCGGCAGCCGGAGGTTCCAAAGTCCACACCAATGAAGACCTTGGAAACCAGGGCTTTGGGGACGCAGGCAAGGTGTCCGGAAAAAACATGTCAGTCGGGTTGATTCAACACCTCTCCGGTGTGTGCTTTACTTGGCATGACCAGTCAGTCCTGTTTCGCTTTGGGGTGATCGGGACGATTTGGCCGAATATCGTACCATGTTATTGATTGTTTTAGGGTCCTATAGCCTATATAGGTGCTGCAAGATGGCAAGATTTGCTTCATCCTTCCTGGTCAACATTTTTTTGTGCTCAACGTATGCTTAGTTTGGTTCGGTTTCAAAATGTGATTTCTCTTTATTCCTGTGCAAGTTGTGCAGGATTGGATTTTGTTTGAGTCAAAAATAGGCCTGTGACAATGCAGCGAAGCACTGGGGCAACCTGACCAATCACCAAACATTTGCCACGATTTGGCGGCCACTCGCTGCTGCAAAGATTTCCTGGATGTCTGTATTGCATTAGTTGACTCATGTAGTTCTGTAACTACTCTTTGAAGTCTCGTTATATAGTCTTTGTCTCTCTCCGAAAACTGTCCCAATACTTGACGTCGTTGTTTGTGGCCTCCACTTCGCAAAAGGAAAAAAAACACTCCACCCCAACCGCTGGAGCGGAGCCTACCGAGGCACAAGCCTTCTCGTCAGACCCTGACGCAGTGTGAAGTTCTGGGTGAGAAATGAGAAACAAAACATTCAAATACCACATCAAAAGGGAGGTGAGGGATGAGAAGGCAGGAAGTCTCAGCAAAACAATGACCACCATCCTAATCTGCATTCCAAAACAGCAGGAACTTCTGAAGGACCGAAAGGATCCTCTTGATTTGAGACTCTCAGGACGCAGGTTTGACGGGGCTTATCAAAATGAGCACGCCCACGAAAGTAATGCTTATACATATATATAGTATTGTCCTCACAAAGCATACCCCGGCCTAACCCGTGCACCTTGCAATCATCGTAAATCATGTGTCTATCACCATCTGTCCACCCAAACATTTATGGTAAGGAGGTGCTCCTGCGAGCTTGGCTACTCCCGAGTGCCTATTAAAAAAACGGATCCTAGTTAAAAAAATCATGTCGGATCCCCCTAAATGCGGTTTATATTTGTTTTTAAATTATTTGTTTTTAAATTACCGCCCTTTCAAGCCGCTACTAAACTACCAACATGGCCGGTTTTGGGGGGGTTTTTCTTATTAGGTTCCCGAAACAACCGTAATTGCCCACCTCTGTCCGCCCTGTCTATCCACCATGACACGCCGCGCTTACACCAGCAGGCTTTCCTTCCCCCAATGGCACGGACTCACGCAAACGCACTTGCCACCGAGGTCATGCAACACCGCATGGCACAGCGACATCACCTTTCGAAAGCTTTTGCTGTTAGTCTACTGAAGAATCACTATTCTAATGAAGGTTTTTGTAGGGGAAAAGGAAGACCCTTCGATCTGGAGGTTCTTTTTGCATTTTTGATACGAGTTTAATAGAGGATTCTATATAAAGTTTTCCTCGATTACTTTTTGGTTTTGAAACTCTTTCCAGGTGACCCTATTTTGGACCCCCTGATTTCAGGGACCCCCTATTAGAAACAATGCCACCGAGGTTTCCTTATTAACGGGGGGGGGGGCCTCGTGTTGTTTAATAGGTGGAAGGGATTACTTGGAGAAACTTGACTTGATCCTTCTTTGAAGGCAAGCCGTCAGGTGTCCTGCGGAAAACAACAACGTTTTCTTCGAGATCAACTTGGCATCAGCTTCCACCAAACCGAACACTTGGGCTTGGAGGCTAGTAAGGCAATGGATAAGGTTATCTTCCACTTCTCTAGTTGCCTGGAAGGTCTACTTTGATCGGCGGCTGGAGCTACTTTTCATAGTCCTTTGGCGCAGGCTCGCTTCTCTTTGGCTCGATGGGCCAAGTGGGTGGATGAACCCCGCAGCCAGCTCTGGTGGTTCCGAAACAGGCACTGAAGCAACATACTCAGTGCTAAACAGGGTTTTGCACGAGACTTAGGGGATCGAGGGGACTGCGATAAATTCTATAATATTGCATGCAATTACCATTACATACAAACTGAGACAAGACG